TATATGAAGAGTTCAGATGCAAAAGCCTCTAAATGCCATTTGAAATTTTCTTCTAAAATGACCATTTTTATCAAGCTTGTATATTTAAGTTCAGTAATTTCACTTAAATGGCAATGAAGATTACCTATTAATTGTCATTTAAGTGAAATTACTGAACTTAAATATACAAGCTTGATAAAAATGATCATATTAGAAGAAAATTTCAAATGGCACTTAGAGGCTTTTGCATCTGAACTCTTCATATATATATATTATTTATTTATTTTTTATTTTTTAGCTGTGTATAGCTTCTATATGGACCTGCTGAATTGATTTGATTTAATCTGTATCTGGCATATGGCACAGCATGTGAGCACTTCTTACAACAAATTCTCAGTATTATGGGACAGCTTACAAATGTTATTATCGGCTAAAACTGTCACAGCAAACATTTGTCTCCCACTGCGCTCCTTTCAAAGGCTTTGAATAAAACAAGAGATTTAAACAATAAGACTAACCATGTTGAGCTCTATAACAGTGATAATTTTTCTGTCGATAAACTTATCCAAACAGTTTCTCACCTGACTAAAAACACACAAAATATATGAAAGCGTTTTTTGGTGTTTCCATGGTTTCTATAGAAGTAAAAATCGAGGGTATGGCGGATATGACGTCATTGACCGGTGAATGTTATTAATATCCATGATATTTCCAGTTCTAGAATCATATAATATTTACACATTATGCAAGACATATTTAAAAAAATGGGCAGTTTTTAGTGGATAGGCTACTGTGCAGTATGCAGTAAAGACACTTTTTTTTTTTCTTCATTCCAAGTAAAGTCTGTGTATGTACCTGTAGGTTTACCAGTATGGCTCCTATTCTCATGGCCTCACTGATCTCTAGGTTGTAGGTCTGTAGGGGAAATCGTGGGGGACTCTGATTGTTGGGCGGGAGAACCTCTATGTAGACCGTAGTTATGGAGCTCCTGCATGCACATAAAGGAAGAGTAACAAAGAAAATAAAAAACCAAAGACACAAGCAAACAATGAAAGATCAAACAGATGCAATGAAGTCATATCTGACCTCCTCTCTGAGTCCGGAGCATTGTCTGACGCTCTAACGGTCAGTGCGTAGGAACGGCCAACAGTCAGGGTGACCCCTGGTGCTAACGTGATCCGTCCAGTGCGGTTGCTGATTATGAAATGCCCCTGATCTCCAGCCAGGATGGCGTATGTGATGAGACCGTTTAAACCAGCGTCCGCATCCTGAGCCGTCAGCTGACAAAACACAGACATCAGAATTTTAAGCCAAGGTATTTTAATTTCCACTGTTCTTCATTGTTTGTGTGTCGCACTCAGTATGGTATTATTATTTCAAACATGCTAATGTACTCAGATTTTAATATTTTTGAGGGTTTTAATACTTTTGCATCAATTCTCTGTGTTTAAATATTCAATAAAAAGATTTAGTAAATAGAGCTTATAATAGTTTGTATGGAAGTTTGTTTGAAAAAAGGTTGTGGCTTTTTTTCTCGCAATTCTGACACAATTGCGAGTTTGAGGCAGAATTGTGAAATATAAATATTACCTTTTGTGAAATATTGAATATTGGTATTACATTTTTTTTTTTGAAATTACAATATTTTATTACAATATTTTTTTTTAAATATTACATTTTTATTTTATTTTTTTTTATTTAGTGACGGAAACAAGCTTCCATAGGTTTGTACAAGTAAATTGATCAAATAAAAAAAATAAAATAAAAAAAATATTATAATGTATTACCATATACCTTTCAATGGCATTCATATTCCTCTTTTTCACACACACACACACACACACACATTTTTTTTTCTTAATATCAATGTATCAAGGTTTGAAAATTCATATCCATTTATTCATTTATTTATTTGAAACAATTTCAGGCATATGATTATTTTAATTCAATGTGTTTCATTAATTCAGATCATGAATTGTGTCTGAGTGTACTTTATTGAATGCCATGGTATTGCTAAGGTTTAATCCAATCCAGTCCACCTTTATTTATGAAGCCCCTTAAAAACAACACTGTTGACCACAGTGCTGAACACAGTCTATAAATAAACAATAAAATACAACAGAGGCACAACAAAAGAAATAATTAAAAAAATACAACAGTAATACAAAACAGAAAGTCAATCCTCAAACTTAATTAAAAAGCCAAAGAGAATAAATGAGTTTTAAAATGGGATTTAAAAACAGAAAGAGACTCAGTCAATTTGATGTGCAAAGGCAGATCATTCCAGCGTTTTGGAGCTGCCACAGCAAACGCACGTCCATCTCTAGGCTTAAGGTCAAAAAGCCATGGTAGTACAACAGTACAAGGCCAAAAGCCTGGTACTTTTTTCTTGGTTGATACCATGGCGTATTCTCATTATATTAACGGATGAGGTGTTATGCCACATTCCAGGCAAACTGTAACCCGTGTTTTTCCAACCTTACACCCTGGAACTGCAGTCAAACCCATGACTTCCCACCCATGAACTTGAACTAGATCAATGTACTCCCAGTTACGAGCTCAGACGTCACATAGCCCGCAAAACAAAAACATAAAAAAACAACAATGGTTTGTTTATATCTAACTACCACAATTCCTTGCGCTCATGTAGTTTGGCGTGACTGGCCTGGGACGCTACAAAGTCATGAGTCGTGGTTTGAAGTCGTGATTTGAGTGCTCAAAACCTGACTGGAACGCAGCATTAGTTCTACTTGCTGATCTTTTTCTTTCTTTAAACTCTACACTCATTACTTCAAATCAACCATAACACGAAATCCATCCATCCATCCTTATTAAAATGCAGATTAGACTTTCAGTATTAATAAGGTTTAAAAGCAGCATATGATTATTCAGGATACATTCTCAAACACAAAGGTCCAGATCAAAGACAAAACACGTTTGATTAGTTTCAAAGACACGCATTTAGATGTAAACATATAATTCTGAACGTTATCATCTTTAAAAGCACCAGGGCAATAAATAGGTAATTAATCTTAATAATTAATTCAACGCCCTGCTAATAAGAAAGCGCCACCTCCATTCAAGGCTCTCATTATTGAGAAAACTCTCCAGATGCACTGATCCGTACCAACGTGCCTTTAGCTGCTTGGAGTGCTGAGGTAAGGAAAAAAAATTACACACACACACACACAATCCAGGGCAGCAAATATGGCTTATAAAACACATCCAAGTGGCCCGGGTGACCTAGCTGTGACCTGTGACCTCATTTCAGGAGGATCCAGGCAGCTTGTTATTTAAAGAGAAACGACAAGCCTTTTTCTTGTGTCTCTGATTTCCCTTTGAATTGTGACCCAGCCGTGACGGAATGAGACAAACACAGGCGGAACATGAGCAGAGTGCAAAAATAAAGCGGAGAGAATCGTTACTGAGAGAGAAAGTGAATATGCCATAGCCTGAGGGACAAAGATGCAAACATTACATTCACTTTATATCATTTTGTACCACTTTTTGTCAGCCCACTATGTCTACACAAGCCACTTTCACTATGCTGATGAATGCAGTTGTCATTTGTCTTTTGAGAGTTTAATCCTGATCTATACACACAGTTTGGTTATTTACTGGAGTGTCATCTGTGTTTTACAACCAAATACACAACTTGAATATTGTAGTAGATACAACAGGATTAATCAGCATAGCATAGTGTGCTCATACTAAACAGTTGAACTGAACTTCAATGCACTGATGTACTGATGCATTCGCCTCTCACAAACTGTGGTAAAAAAAAAAGGGACAGGCGGACAGGTCATCAGAACAAATCAGTGCTTGGGAAGTTACTCTGAAACTTAAAAATTTAAGGGGATTTAATTATAGAAAAGCTACTTTAAAAAAAAGCTTGGCTGAAGCTAAAAAATATATATATTTAGCTAGAAACACATTCCCCAGGTCTTTAGTGACCCAGGACATCATTCACCACCCTCCTCCTCATTCATTCTTCATTTTCCTCAGTTAATTCGAGAACAAATGTATAAAAGAATGTCTGTTTTCCCTTTCAATTTTGTAAAAAATAGTCAGTAGTGACTTGAGGTGCTGTTACACACCTCAAGTATTTTTTTCTACACAACAATAACTGATAGGGGTGGAACGGTACACATAAGTCACATGTCGGTTTGTACCTCGGTTCAAACTTTACGGTTCGGTACGATTTTGGTACAATGGAGGGAAAAGTAAAACAAAAATGCAGAATGCATTGTATTTTTTAAATAAGTTTTATTAATAAAGGCATATAACCAGTTTATTTGTAGTGCACTGACAATAGTTTTATATAATTAGTTGGTAACACTTTACAATAAGGTTCATTAGTTAACATTAGTTAATGTATTTACTAATGTAGAGAATCGAGGCGAATCAAACACAACTTAATCAAATTAATCTTTCATGGGATTAATTCACATGGCTTCAACACTCCAAGTTCTGGAGCCCACATTCCAGAGTCACGGAACGACTCCGTGCTGTCTGCAGATAAGGACTTTTATTGCCCCACAGGCCCAAGAGATGGGCACTAAACAGGACGAACGTGTCAATATGGTAATTTTAACTAAGACAAATCAGCTCCAAAATGGTGGAACGAGATCTCACATCAAAGACCCCTCTGATGCCCTGACAGAGATGTTCCACAGAACACCTTTGCCTCGTCCCCCTTCGAGTTGAACTCTCAGTAACCTTACGGTTGAGATCGAAGATCTCACACATAAAATAATATGAACTCACCACAGAACAATTCTTGGACCTATAACCAATCATAATTCTTGTTGTTCCTACACTTCATGTGTATTATGCTTAGATCACATAATAACCATGTAATTGTTGTTAACTATTAACTCTTGTAATTGTTATACAACCATTAGAAGTGTGAATGCCTCGTTTGCTCTTAAACGAACCGTATTCTCGTAATTCAAAAGATGGCTTGATTGAAATCTGCGTAAAAGGTTTTGTTTTATTATTATAATTATCATAAGGTTAAAACGATGGTCTTTTGTCTCTGCTAAGTGCTGGAGACCAGCTCACAGACCATGCATAAATTATGATAAAGCAAGAAGTAGATCAGCCTCCAATTGGCCAGAAGCTTCTTGGAGGTTGGACTAGAGTTTAAGTTAAAGATCCGAACAAAGGACCTCATGATCAGATTTTTGTAGATTTTAGAAGATTTCAGGTGATTTTTGTTCTGTTCTGTAACTGTTAAGTCCGTGCCTCTCTCTAAAACCAGCAAGAGAGTGTTCTGTTCGTGCTTATCTCTGAAACAAAGAACATGTCCACATGCTTCTACATCGACTAGACCAAATTCGACCAGCAGACGAATAACCCATCAAGATCAGGGTTACAATTCAGCTCAGTCAAGCCATCCGACTCGCCTTGCTTTCATTTCTTTCCTTTATTTCCTTTTTCGTAAAAGTCTCGTTTCAAAGTTAAGTTTGCAACGCGCTTCGAATTGGAAAAGACTCTCATTCGCTTGCTAATCACACGTGACCAGCGGTGAAACTTCCATCCCTGCACTTCAAAGACAACAAACCACGCAACGGACCCGGCCGGGAAACCCCCCTTCGACGCGACGCAGACAAAGGGAATTCCCTCAGCCACTACAAAGCGCAAGTACTCCAGGCTCTAACTGAACTGGTGCTTTGATGTTAATTGAATAACCTCTCTAAGAAATGAAGGTTCAAATTAATGCTTGGTGGTCCTTTCAGGTTATGTCTTACGTGCATATAGAAAGTTGACACTTTCTCTCTCACTCTTTCCAACTCACTCTTTCCCTTTCGCGACTGTATGAATGTGTGTGTGCGTGTGCGTGATTATGTTTAGACCTTAGTTTTGTGTTTAGAATAGCTAATAAAGTCTTGTCCATATATTTGAAAAGATAAATCTTCTTGTGTCGTGTTTGCACATTTAATGTCTTGTACTGTTCGATTTAAAGTTACCTTGCTAAGACATAGTGTTTCACTATAGATTTGGTTATAATTACGGCCCGTTCAAATGAACTCTAAGCGAGTCATTTGCTCGGTTCAGTGATTCGGTTCCATAGATTCATTGCAAATCAATGAATCATTTCCCTTTGAGCTAAATTGGCCTTCGGCCCCCTTTAATACATTTTATGTATATTATTATATGTTGCATTTGCTACATATTGGTGGAGAATGCGGGCAGTTCAACCTAAATTGTGAACATATATCAAGAAATTATCTTTTCATTTTTGGTTGCGGATGCGAGATCCGAACCTCCGCGAGTCTGTGTGTGACGTATGCGCCGCGCGCACGATTGAATGCTGCTGCTGCTGTTATCTGTGAGTGAAGCTCCCAGAGAAAGCTGAGAAGTCTAGTCTGTCGCCTATTTTGTTTTCTTTTATCTTTAACTAAGATATAAGATCTCACACTACAATAAGGTAGGAATTAAGCGTGTTCCTTATTTCCAGAGAAATGCCTCGTTATAGCTGAGATATCTGCGTGTTCCAGAGTCTTTCATAGAGCTATAACGTTGTGTGTGTGTGTTTATATAAGTCAGAGAAGCCGAACGAAATCAAACTGCAGTAATTAAAACTAACCCTGTAAGTTAAAATATTTTCCTGACAGAGCGTCAAGCGTGTTCCTTGTCGAATCTAGTCATAAAAGCCTTAAAGTTATTTATCTGATCGCAGTGCGTGTTCCATTGCTTCTCCGTGATAAATGCTTAATGCTTTCTGTTTATTTTATTTGATCGCAGTGCGTGTTCCATTGTGATCTCCGCGATACACACTTAATGCTTATCTGTTTATTTGTTTGATCGCAGTGCGTGTTCCATTGTGATAAACACTTAATGCTTATCTGTTTATTTGTTTGATCGCAGTGCGTGTTCCATTGTGATAAACACTTAATGCTTATCTGTTTATTTGTTTGATCGCAGTGCGTGTTCCATTGTGATAAACACTTAATGCTTATCTGTTTATTTTATTTGATCACCAGTGCGTGTCCCACTATCCGTGATGCCCGTGATAAACAGTTAACGTTAAAGTTAATGCTTTTCTGTGTATGTCTATTCAATTATTTATCTTGTAAACACTGCGCGTGTCCGAGTGTAATTGAATAGGACTTATTTTAAGTTTTGTCCAAGTAAAGCTTGTTTTGAAACTGAACCAAGTTAGACCCTGTTACTTTGTGTGAAACTAAACCTGCACAAAGACAGAGACGAGATCATCGTTCTCATACAGCGCACCGCCGCGTGCTTAAAGTTATCACTCTCAACAAACTGAGTGAAGCCCCATGTCGTAAACCCAGCTACGAGTGGTGTATTTTATTTGAACAGTGTGAAATGCGCCGACATTTCCCGTAATATGATCGTTGTTACTGTACATGTTCTGTGAACATGGAAATGCGCTCACATTGCATGGAACTCTAACAAACTGCTTACCAACTGCAATTCACGGTTCGCCCACTAGCGTTCGCTTGATCGTTTTAGTCGCTATCATGACACGGAAGTCTTAACCAACACTTCCGGGTGAACTCTGACCCCCTCGAACTTTGTAAACAAACCAAACAAACGCTACGCTAAGCTAAGCTAGGCTAAGCTAAAGCTGAGCGGTTGTTTGCATTGAGGCCTGTGCTAAAGCCTTTAGCATCAGTTACTATTATCAATACTAACCCCAGCGGTTAGCTATAGTGTCTGTTTGAACAACGTTAAAGCGTTTTAACCATTTAGACACCTATCGATCTTTTCTTGTTTCTTCTTTTAACTTTATCACACTTTTCTTTAAAGTTAACCATATTTTTCCTGAAAGGAAAATACTGATGTACCATTATTAATTGTTTTACCTGCATTTTACTTGAAAAAGAAAATTCTGGTTTATGATTATTAATTGTCAAATTTCGAATTTGATTTTAAAAGAACAAGAAATTGCAAAATTGAGATTCTACCTTTCTAAACAGATCATTTCTAATGATTTCTAGATTTATTTTTGTAATAATTCTAATTGCATAATTTTCATAATTTTTACATTTCTCTTTGAGATCTAATCACTATAGGTGAATTAGGTTTGAAACTTAAGAACTCCGAAAGTTAAAATTTGGAAAGTTGTTATTACTATTACAAAAATAGTGTTAGACTCAGATTTGCTTATTATCGTCATTGCGCTTTATCCTTTCGTCTGGTTGGTTATAAACTTAACCACTATATTGGAATAATTCATTTGCGTGACGCTTCAATAGGAGACATTACCATCTCAATACGAGTTTCAAATAAACCAGAGACAATCGTCTTTTACAAAGTTTATTTGTGTGTTTAGTTGTTCATCAACTATCAATTCTATACTCGTAGTAGATCTAAAGGTAGCGGGATCCAACCTCCTTGCTTCATTTCCTCCTCATCACATCTTTCCTGTTCTGTCCTGCTTTATTCCATCTAATTTTGCACATTTGTAGGGAACAAACCTGGAAGAACCATCAACCAACTCTAAAAGAGACAAAGATAATCTTTCCCAAACAGATTATTAGGTATTTGATTTTTAGTCAAACCCTCTTGTGTTCTTCTCACTCTCCCTGCATTTGTAAACGCAATTTAAACTTTGACATCTTATCCAAGCTTAATTAACAGAGACAAGTGTTGAGCAAACTCCGCCTTCAAAGCATCCCTGCTGTAAGCGGTCCAACCGAAGGTGTGTGTGTCAATCCTGTCAAACTCAGAAAAGAGGTATCAGCATTATTATTGTATTATTTTTCATTGCAAACATAATCAATAATATTGTTTACCTTTCTGGAAACAGATTGTCATTGATAGAAACATTTATGAGAAATTAATACTTTCCCTAGTTAATAATTTCCTTTTTGTTTCGTTTCTCTCTCATTTGAAATTGGTCGTTAACTTTTCTCTCTTCTTCTCTTACTCAGTTGAGTGACGAAGTCCTCACCTCACGAGTTGAAACCAGCTTTCCAGTGATAGAAAATATTCACACAAAAAAATATTTTCTCCCATTGAAACAAAAAGCTTTTTCCATTTGAGATTTGTTTTAACCTCTTTCTTTTTCTTTCCTTTACCCAGTTGAGTGACGAGATCTTCACATCCCTAGCCTCACTGTGTACACTTAGACCAACATTTAGTCATCACGACACTTCACTATTGGTGCACACTTACTGAAACTACACTCAGCCGTGCAACCACATATAGGCTTATACCACACAGATCTGTGTCAGTCTCTTCACCGAGCGTGCCAACATGTCGTGGACGACAAACCCCACTGCCCAACGGGAAGACATGGACGCCTGGCTCAGAGGCATTACAGACTGCCTCACACCAAAGACAATTGAACTGTTATTATTTTTAATAATAATCATAATTCTGAGAAGATTCCTGACACATGACTCAAGCCAAAACCAAAGCCATGTGGAACTAACCAAAATAACCTGTTCCTTAAGCAATGCCTTCACAGCCCAGCTAAACCTAAGCCACCAGCACGTCACCCACCTTCAGGAGGAGCTGACACGTGCCCAAAGCCGCATAGACAAGCTGGAAGTGAAAGTCCAGGACGACCTCAAGACCACCGGGTTCCTGAGAGAGCTGACGCACACTCAACACTGCAAAGACCAGCTCAAAGCGTCCGACGAAGCGGAGCATGAAACAAAGACCCAAGTTGACAAGCTCCAAGAAGCCCTTGCAGTCACTGAACGTGACAAACAAGAGTTAAAGACTGTCCAGAAGCACCTGGAAAACCAACTCCAGTTTGCTGAACATCAGCTAGAGAAAGCCAAAGCTGACATTGAAAGTAAGAACTCTAAACTCACTGCTCTGGAAGACCACCTGCGAAGGTGCAGCGTTGAAATTGACCATCTGACCCAACAGCGAGACGACGCCAACGACGAGCTCTACGCGGTCAGAAATGAACTCCAACATGTCTTTACACAGAAACCAGAGCCAAGAAGGGAGAGACCTCCCTCAGCATCATCACTGCTGAGCAGAACAGAGTCCTCCATCCAAGAACTGTCATCCTACGGAAGAAGTGAATGGCCACACCCCAAAACGTCACCGGCCTTCACCACAGAACTCTTCCCTGCCAACCAACAAAGAGAGATCATCCAGCCAGACTCCAAAGCTGCAACTGGAATGACCTTCAAAGATCTCAACCAGCTGGCTAAGAACATCACCCAGTTCGACCCGAACTCCACGGAGGGCCACTGCATCCAGGCCTACCTCCAAGATATCGACTTCCTCCTAGAGGTGAGACCACATATGACTGACAGAGACATTTTATACCTCCTCAGATCCACATCCAGTCAAGAGGTACGAAGCGTCCTAGACCGACAACCTGCTCATGTCAAGTCAAACTACCAGCTGCTACGTGAGATCCTGATTAAAGAATTTACAAGTCCAGAGTCAGAACACGGTGTGTTAGTCGCCTTGGAAACCAAACAAGGTCGTCAAGAGACTCCCCAAGCCTATTATCACCGTTTCCGACAAGCCTACTTCGGTGCACATAGCAAACCTGAATCTGAAGAGGATCTGAACTTCAAAACCCTCTTCCTGAGAAACCTGCATCCAGGACTGAGTCGTCATCTCGGCATCATGGCCTGTCCAGTCACCATGACGCTTCAACAGCTACGTGACCTAACACACAAGGCCTACATCAAACAAAAGATGATTTCAAAGAAAGGTTTGAAAACATCCACAGTGTCAAACTCCAGCAGCCAAGACACAAGCCTTGCACTGGAAGACACCCAGTGGCATGACAACGCCACAGTCCTTCATCAGGAGCACAGAGAATGTTACTCCCATGCTAACGACAGCTACCACTCCAACCACGTGGAAAAGTCATGGGACCCACCAGAAGGAAACAACTGGAATCAACGAGTGCATCCAAAAGCATTCTATGTGGGTAAGCGACAACGAAACCCACCTCCACACCACACTGAGTGTGTCCAAGAACACGACAGTCTCCCCTCAGAGGACATGGAGCGACTACTGAGTCGACTGCAAGTGTTCTTCAAAGACAAGCTGAACACAGAAGACCAGTGATCACCTTGCACACCTTCCTGAGACGTCCACCTGTTCTACAACAACACAGAACAAAGTGGCCTCTCACAGTCAACCACTGACAAACACCCAGAGGTACCAGAAAACACCATCCTGGTTACCCATCACACCACAAGCTCCAAACTCAAGAACCATCTGTGTGCTGCCGCAACACCAGTAAGCACAGAAGTCAGACTGTCTGTCACAACCAGAAGGCATCACAAGTGGAATGCAACAAGGAGACCACGTTTTGCACTACAGCTTCACGCATCCGTGCCAAACCACCTCCCAATGTCTGCCAGAGAACTTCCTGCCTTACGGGACTGACCCCCAGCAGATCACAGAAGATCCCTTTCCAAGGCAAAGATGCGACAAGCTCATCAAAGCTAAGCCATTAAGCAAAGGGGGAGCAAAACAGACTGAGACAGATCTGACATACATACAGCATACATACAGTACATGCACTACACTACACTGTACTGACATACACAAGTTAAACACATCTACCATGAAAACATTCAACAAACATGTTTTTCATTGTATTAGCTACCCTTTCCACCGGAAACATGTAGCGATACACCCAACAAGTATAACACCTCTCATCACATGTTGACACCTGTCACTGCATCACAGTACCCATACTGGAGTCACTCAACTGCTTTGTTTTGTTTTACCTCTTCCTTCCCTTCTTCTCTTATTAGGTAAAATCCCTTTTACCCCATAAGGGTCAAGGTTACAATATAAGGATTGACGCACCACGCCTGACGTTTGCAAGTCACCTTAGAACGAATGTTAGCCAGAGAACTCCCTGCATCATTCGAATCAAAATTTGGAAGGTAAATTGGTCTAAACCTAGAACAATTTAGAAGTGGATAAAACAAACAAATCAAATTTAGTCACAAAGTTGATCAATCACCGTTTAACACAAACTAGAATAACGGTCCTAAAATTGAACTAAACTTTTTCCACATAATTGACTATATTGAGAGAGTGAACTCGTTAGGCCTAGATAACCTAATGCCCTGCACCAGTAAAGTGACCAGTCATGGAGGAGTTGCCTTGTTGTTTGCTGTGTGTGTTTGCTTCTTCTTCTTCTGTTTCTCCAGCGTTCAATGATGTCTTCTTCTCAACCCATCATCGATCGAGGGGGGATATGTAGAGAATCGAGGCGAATCAAACACAACTTAATCAAATTAATCTCTCATGGGATTAATTCACATGGCTTCAACACTCCAAGTTCTGGAGCCCACATTCCAGAGTCACGGAACGACTCCGTGCTGTCTGCAGATAAGGACTTTTATTGCCCCACAGGCCCAAGAGATGGGCACTAAACAGGACGAACGTGTCAATATGGTAATTTTAACTAAGACAAATCAGCTCCAAAATGGTGGAACGAGATCTCACATCAAAGACCCCTCTGATGCCCTGACAGAGATGTTCCACAGAACACCTTTGCCTCGTCCCCCTTCGAGTTGAACTCTCAGTAACCTTACGGTTGAGATCGGAGATCTCACACATAAAATCATATAAACTCACCACAGAACAATTCTTGGACCTATAACCAATCATAATTCTTGTTGTTCCTACACTTCATGTGTATTATGCTTAGATCACATAATAACCATGTAATTGTTGTTAACTATTAACTCTTGTAATTGTTATACAACCATTAGAAGTGTGAATGCCTCGTTTGCTCTTAAACGAACCGTATTCTCGTAATTCAAAAGATGGCTTGATTGAAATCTGCGTAAAAGGTTTTGTTTTTTATTATAATTATCATAAGGTTAAAACGATGGTCTTTTGTCTCTGCTAAGTGCTGGAGACCAGCTCACAGACCATGCATAAATTATGATAAAGCAAGAAGTAGATCCGCCTCCAATTGGCCAGAAGCTTCTTGGAGGTTGGACTAGAGTTTAAGTTAAAGATCCGAACAAAGGACCTCATGATCAGATTTTTTGTAGATTTTAGAAGATTTCAGGTGATTTTTGTTCTGTTCTGTAACTGTTAAGTCCGTGCCTCTCTCTAAAACCAGCAAGAGAGTGTTCTGTTCGTGCTTATCTCTGAAACAAAGAACATGTCCACATGCTTCTACATCGACTAGACCAAATTCGACCAGCAGACGAATAACCCATCAAGATCAGGGTTACAATTCAGCTCAGTCAAGCCATCCGACTCGCCTTGCTTTCATTTCTTTCCTTTATTTCTTTTTCGTAAAAGTCTCGTTTCAAAGTTAAGTTTGCAACGCGCTTCGAACTGGAAAAGACTCTCATTCGCTTGCTAATCACACGTGACCAGCGGCGAAACTTCCATCCCTGCACTTCAAAGACAACAAACCACGCAACGGACCCGGCCGGGAAACCCCCCTTCGACGCGACGCAGACAAAGGGAATTCCCTCAGCCACTACAAAGCGCAAGTACTCCAGGCTCTAACTGAACTGGTGCTTTAATGTTAATTGAATAACCTCTCTAAGAAATGAAGGTTCAAATTAATGCTTGGTGGTCCTTTCAGGTTATGTCTTACGTGCATATAGAAAGTTGAAAACTTTCTCTCTCACTCTTTCCAACTCACTCTTTCCCTTTCGCGACTGTATGAATGTGTGTGTGCGTGTGCGTGATTATGTTTAGACCTTAGTTTTGTGTTTAGAATAGCTAATAAAGTCTTGTCCATATATTTGAAAAGATAAATCTTCTTGTGTCGTGTTTGCACATTTAATGTCTTGTACTGTTCGATTTAAAGTTACCTTGCTAAGACATAGTGTTTCACTATAGATTTGGTTATAATTACGGCCCGTTCAAATGAACTCTAAGCGAGTCATTTGCTCGGTTCAGTGATTCGGTTCCATAGATTCATTGCAAATCAATGAATCATTTCCCTTTGAGCTAAATTGGCCTTCGGCCCCTTTAATACATTTTATGTATATTATTATATGTTGCATTTGCTACACTAA